CCGCGTGTGCGAGCCTACCCTTAATGGATTCCTCGAGGAAGATGGCGATCTCCTCCGTGTCGGCAGAGGTCATCGATCGAGCGAACGTCAGCTCACCCTCCCGCTCCTCCAGCGACTCGTACAGCAGCTCCCGCCGCCGCCGCAGCGGCTCCCTCACCAGGGGGCGCCCGTTCAGGTAGAGCAGGTCGAAGGCGTAGATGCACACCTGCACCTTGATCTCGTCAGCGAGCGCATCCTGACGACGAGCGGAGAGGAGGCGGTTGCCGTTAACGACACGTTTAAAAATATTATTATTGAATTATCGTTTATTTTTTCTAATAAAATATATTTTTTTGTATTATCGCATTACCGTTTATAGTCTCGACCGGATGGATCGTTGCTAACGTTTATTGACACTTATTAATGTTAATAAATATATCTAATAAAAATTATGATATTATTATGATAACTTTAATAATATGATTGTATGATATGCGATAATATGGTTGTATCAAGATATGAGTGACCGTTAACAAGGTGCGAGGCAACCCGGTCGTTAGACTAACACCGACGAAACTCATTACCGGCACCAAAACCCACATATCACCTCACCGAAATTATAATACACATACTACGACTGTGACACGATAAGAACTCGATACATATAAGAACCTGATAAGAACATGCCACCGTATTACGCAATGCCACGATATTACCGCACGAGACGCGACGCGTGACGCCGCCATCACGCGCGCGCGATGACTCACCTTCCTCTTGCGCGTGCTCAGCACCTGGAACGGCTGGATCTGCTTGGTCTCGCGGTGCCACGCGACGGCCTCGGCGTCGACGACGCACGACGTGACGCCGGCGCGGAGCGCGCGCGGCATGCGGGCGACGACGTCCGGGTACTTGGACGTGTTGTCCTCCGAGTTGCGGCTGTAGATGCGAACCTCGCCGGCCTCCGTCACGTGCACCTGCCCCGGCAGACACAGCGAGACATCGGTGACGGAGAATGACACACACGGGAACATGGTGTCAGAGAATGACACACACGGGAACATGGTGACAGAGAATGACACACACGGGAACATGGTGACAGAGAATGACACATGGCGGGAACACCGGTGACGGAGAATGACACACCATAGGAAAATCATGGTGGACAGGAAAATGACACATGGCGGGAACACCGGTGACGGAGAATGAACACACGGGAACTAAATGGTGTCACAGAGTGACACAGGCGAAACATGGTGACGGAGAATGACACACACGGAACATGGGGAACAGACGAATGACATCATGGGGGGAACACCTGTGTTGAACGGAAATGACACACATTACAGAATACACGGTGTCAGAGCAACGACAGACGCGCGAGAACTCGGTGACGGGGAATGACAACATAGGAAGCATCGTGGTCAGAGAACGCA